CTCTCTCTCTCTCTCTCTCTCACACACACTTTTTGATCTGTTTCAGTGCTCTCATGTTTTCATCTGTGATGATCAAAATGCCACATTTTTTATGGTTAAGGGTTCCAGCTATACAAACAATAGTTATATTGAGAAATTTAGCACTAAACCAAGGGGTTATTCTCATTTTTATGCCTCTGTTTTATTTTTCAGGACACTCCGAGATCCAGAAGTCATAAGAGGTGAGTCTGACTGCATCTAATGTCTATCAGCGGGTAAGATATGTCTATTCAGCACTGCATTGCACAGAGGGAGATCGAAGGGATTAAACCGTTTTAGCTGTTCACCGCAACTGGACCATTCGCTCATCTGATGGCTTATGTCAGATGTAAAAAGTATTCTCCTGGCTTAAAAATTTGCCTTAGTAAAAATACTGAAAAAGAAGCGTCTCATCAGAAGAAAGGGATTTAAAGCCTGTGAAACGACAGCATGGCTTAACTGGCATAGCAAAGTCTGAATTGACCCATTTTTTTTTTTAAATAGCCTTTGCACAGCCAGCCTTGTAGGCTACTCTCCTAGGTTCACAAAACTGTTGTCCATAAAATGCGTTGCACAAATTCGAACATCTAGGTTGTGTTGTTCTGTTGTAAATAAATCTTAACCAATGATTCCTAATTGCATCTACTTCCGGAAGGCCAAATAAAGTGCTTTTGCTTTCGCACAGAAACACACAGCGTCTCCCTGACATGGCTGCATCAACACTACTGCTGTTCCTGAAACCAAGCCTTCTTTCTTTGCATGAACATTTGGGCGGCATTATGCAAATATTTCCACATCGTGACATAGAGATGTGGGGGCGTGTTTGAATGAGGCGTTTTAGTCTGGATCAGCCATCTTTTTTAGATAGAATAAATCCTTTTGTGGGAGACTTTGAGCTTTGTAACGCTGCAGATCTTATATATGCACAAATAGCTACGTAACACACTAAAGAAAAAGAAAAATAGAAATCGCATCATATGACCCCTTTAAGAGGCGGTGTTACATTACACACAGATAAAGCTATACTTATGTATAATGCACATCCTTTTCTATTTATTCCACACATAATTAAGACTAAAGATATAAAAAATGAATCATAGACATCTACCACAAAATTATTTATTTTCTATTACAATAATTAAGGTCACAATCATCTGTAAAGTTGCTGTGAAACGACGTGTATTGTGAAAAGCGTTATACAAATAAACCTGACCTTACTTGACTTGAGTAACTCTTAAAGGTATAGTTCACCCAAAATGAAAATTACCCCATGATTAACTCACCCTCAAGCCATTCCAGGTGTATATGACTTTCTTTGCCTTGCCTTGAATCGGAGCTATATTTAAAAATGTCCTGGCTCTGGGGATCGAGATTTTGAAGCAAAATAAAGTGCATGCATCCATCATAAAAAGTGCTCTACACGGCTCCAGGGGGTTAATAAAGGCCTTCTGAAGTGAATCGATGTGTTTGTGTAAGAAAAATATCCATATCCCAACTTAATGTGTAGCGCAAGTAAATCATGGGGTAATTTAAATTTTGGGGTGAATTATCCCTTTAACTAGGAATTTTCCATGAAGAAACTGAAGGCACTATAAGATCAGGGACATTTATTAAGAAAATAAATAGGCTCAGTTTTGATTTCATGATCTCCTTTAAGAGGTGTATCCAGATGATTCTCTGGATGAGACTAGCCACAGAGACTCTGTTTTAGGCATGCCATTTCTGCACTGTCAACGTCACCAATCGGAAGCGCAAAAGTTGAGGTTTACAGCTTTATTCTCAGTCTTTCATCGGTCGGGCGCCCCATACTCACACCATCGGTCGAGGCAATGCATCTAACTTCTGATACATTAAATCTTTAACATTATCTACAGTTTCCATGCAAGGAGTTCATAAATCTACAAATTCTTGGGCAGGTGAAAAAAAAAGACCACACATATGAGCCTTTCTCTGATTTGTTGCCAGTTCTTTTCTTCCCGCTTTTGTGGAATGTACAGGCCTTGCTCAGATCAACACTCCGAAGTGAAAAGAAGGCCTATTAATTTGATTCCTGGAAAGGGGTTATCAGCCGAATGAGTGAAATATTATGAAGGAATCCTCTCCAAGTCTTCCACATATGTAATTACAGAAATGAAGCTGGTTAAAGTAAGTTCCACATGAATATTCCCAGAGTTTCTGGGCTAAGTGAAGAGCGAGAGAGACGGGGAGAAAGTGAAACAAATGGAAAAAGACAGATATTCTTCCCCAACCGCCCTCCCCCCTTTTTTGACTAGCTGCACAGCGGTGTCCCAAGGCACAGTCCTGTAAGGAGCAGGTCTGTTCTCCTCGCTAATGAAAGTGCATTGCTCTAATGCCTTCTACTGTGCCATAAAAAGGCTTTTCATACTCTGATAATTTACTACTTAAGCTTTCTTATTTCCGCTCCTGTGAAATAAATGACGCACTTTCCGAGCCATTATGTTAGAAAAGGGTTGAGGTCTCATTTGAAGGAAGAAAAATGTGTGAAAAGATGTTTTAGCGAGGCTTCTTTTATGAACACCGAATGAAAAAGTGCTCACCTGTGTTTTTTATTTCTGCTTTTAAGAAGCGTGTCCATTAGAGGTGTGCAGTACCACGAACCGGGCACACTGATCGAAAATGCTATTTCAGCGTTAATAAGCATGACCCCTTTTAGTTTGTTGTGTGCTGTATATGACATGTTCAAAAGGAAGGGAATATGTATTAATTTAGATGTTCCAGATAAAATATATATATATATATGTGTGTGTGTGTGTGTGTGTGTGT